CTTATATCTAGAATTTATAAAATATTCAGGCACCACAACAAGATAAAGGTAAATAACCCAGTTGAAAAATGGGCACAGGATATGAACAGAAACTTCACCAAAGATGACATTCAGATGGCAAACAAACACATGAAGAAAACTTCAAAATCCCTAGCTCTAAGGGAGATGCAAATCAAAACAACTATGAGATACCATCTCACCCCAGTAAGAATAGCAAAATTTAAAAGAACAGCAAACATCAAATGCTGGCAAGGGTGTGGAGAAACTGGAACCCTTATTGGTGGGAGTGAAAAATGGTACAACCACTATAGAAGGCTGTATGGTGCTTTCTCAAAAGGCTGGAAATCGAAATACCATTTGATCCAGCAATTCTACTACTGGGAATATAAAGAAACCATAACTGCCCAAACAGATACATGCACACCTATGTTTATTTCAGCTTTGTTCACAATAGCAAAGAGTTGGAAAAAACCCAAGTGCTAATCAACAAATGAATTGATAGAGAAACTCTAGTATATTCACACAATGGAATACTATACTGCATTGAAAAACAAGGAACTCATGAACTATTATACAAAATGGGTGACCCTGGAGAATATTATGCTGAGTGAAATATCTCAGTCTCAAAAAGACAAATACAGCATAATGTCACTGTTATAAAAGAAGACTGCATAGGGGCTGGGGGGAGACTTAGAAAGAAGGGATAAATAATGTATACTGCATTGAAACAGAAGAGGGAAAGAGCTGTTTAAAAGGGATATGATTAGATATTATTGTTATGACAGGAGTCCAGAACAAAGGTAGTATAGTGAAGTGGACTTGGGGGGAGGGATTGAATAACAATGAAAGAATTTTGTTTCTTTTACATTTCGAAGAGAAAAGGGAATTGGGGAAGAGGGGTTGGCAGGGAGAAAAGTGCAATGATGAATAAATGGAAATCCAAAGTCTCTGTAAACTTTCATTAAAATCAAATTTTAAAAAAGATATAACCCATTTTGAAGACTACAGTGTTTGACCTTCTGCAGCAAGTGTTTCAAGTCCTCCTCACTTTCAGCAAGCAAGATTGTGTCATCTGCATACCAAAGGTTATTAATGAGTCTTCTTCCAATCCTGAAGCGCATTCTTCATCATAGAGTCCAACTTCTCAAATCATTTGCTCAGCATACAGATTGAATAGCTATAGTGAAAGGATACAACCCTGACACATACCTTTCTCACTTTTAAACCATATGGTGTTCTCTTGCTGTGCTTGCAAAACAGCTTCTTCACGTAGATATAGGTTTCACATGACTCAATTAAGCATCTGGGATTCCCATTCTTCTCATTATTAGCCATAATTTGTTATGATCCACACAGTCAACTGTCTTTGCATAGTCAATAAAGCAAAAATAGACATTCTTTTGGTGTTCTATGCTTCCAATCAAGATCCATCTGACATGAGTAATTATATCCCTGCTTCCATGTCTCTTCTAAATCCAGCTTGAATTTCTGACAGTTCTCTATGGATTGTTCTAGCATTTTAAAATGATCTTCAGCAGTATTTTGCTTGTATGTGATATTAATGATGTTACTTGCTAATTTACACATTCTGTTGGATTATCTTGGGAACAAATATGGATCTCTTCCAGTTGGTTAGCCAGGCAGCTGTCTTCCAAGTTTTCTGGCATATTCTGGTAAGCATGTCCAGGGTTGCATCTAATATTGATTAGACATTTAGATAATAATATTTTTTATATTGGGTCAACAAATACATTGTTAAAATTTCTTTTACTTGATCCTTTTTACTATTTAAATATGACTATGAAGACAACCTATACTTGGACCAAGAGGCAGTC